AAAGGTGAATAGTGACCAATTTTGAAACTTAATTGATATTAAGTGACCATTTGATGGTTTATTATCTAAATAGCCTTCTTATAATATATTATTATGTAAGTAGACAAATTTACCCTCTACATTAACCTAAATAAATACTTACTTAAATTGACTAACAAAAAGACAACTAGGGTGAGTCTCTGAAGAGAAGATCAAGATGGGAAAGAACTGATGATGGATATTATACATCATTTTCTTCAAGATTCTAAGAGACATAACGAGAAAATTGTAAATTTTCTTCTAATTCATTGTTTTCAAGGTATAATTATTATACTTTACGAGTTGATTTGTCTGAGAGATCTTCCTTAAGATATAAGATTGTAATTTTTAAGAATTTTTAATACTACTTAGTTCTAGTTCAAGAAATAATGACTATTGTTGATTAATTTCATAATTTTACTAACTGTTAAAGGGTGTTTCAAAAGTATGATTTGCCACTGTAAATGTTATGAGCGCTCATGTTGGAGAGTCTTGAAAAATAAATAAATGATTGGAAAGAGATAATGTTGATAAAGAAATTTTAATTTTTTAAATTGGTTAATTGTAAACTAAAAAGGAAAATATTAGATGGTTGAGAGCCTTGAAAAATAGACAAAGGGTGAAAAAAAGATAATGTTGGTAATTAAATCTTAATTTTTTAAATTGGTAAATTATAAACTATAAAGGAAAAAAAGAAAACGTTGGATTAGAGAGAGAGAGAGAGAGTAGGAGGAGGATGAATTTAATGACTTATTATTTATATTGGATGACAATTTTGTCATCTAAAATTTATTTTTAAAATGTTTATTAAACTTTTAAGTGTTTTTAACCAAATTATCCTTAAATGGTCACTTAATATCAATTAAGTTTCAAGATTGGTCACTATTCACCTTTTATTGACTTTAAAGTCATTATATAGCAATTATGTTTAATTTTGGTCACAAAAATATAATTTTCCCAATTTTATTTTATTTGTGTCTCATTGACTATATATATACAAGTCACAACTAACAAAAGTAGATAGAGTTTTGGACCTTTGGTGTTGACCACGAGATATGTTATATGGGCCTAAGCCCATGATAGTCTAGCATTTAGAGTCGGTTAGTTAAAAATTCAAATAAGAAGGGGGCCAATACGGCTACAAATTCGTGGATCTGGCCTACACCTTGGCCCACTCAGAAACTCATTTCTTCACTATGTCTGCTTTTTTTTTTTTTATTTGCCAAGCTAGGGCGGCACACTCGCGGCTCATGCCGCATTATGTCTGGTTACCAGTTTGTTTTTTAATTTTTTTTCATCCTGTCTGCATTTTGGTCCATCAAGAAAATAGATCATTATATGCTACTATGAAATTGTTTAATTCAGATACTGCCGATCTTCTCTACTTAAGCTTTTTTTTTTTTCTTCTTCATTTGAAATAAAATAATTTACCAATTCTTAAAAATACACAATAAATAATAGTATACAAACACTAATATAAAGTTACTATTCAAAATTTAAGATTAATTGACCCATATTTTTTTTGTGTGTTGCACTTATCAAATTATTATTTATTTGAGAAGAGGGAGCAAGTGCTTTTAGAAAAAGGTTAATGAAGTTTTATACAGCTATACCAACCTAAATATATGTGTGTTTTTATTTAAATATATGCACATGGAAGAGATTAGGGCATGTACCTCTTTTACCTCTCTCTAAAATTGTTTACTATGCAGTATTATTTTTCAAATCTATTCATTTTTTATTGAGATACAAAACTTCTTAAATATGGATTGACAACTGTTCAATCATCATTTTGGTCTAGCAACAAAATCAAAGTACTTAAAAAAAATATTTGAAATGGAAGTACAAGTATTTTTATATGAAGATATTTATTAAGTTAAAATTCTTTTTATTTTTTTTTTTAATTTTTAAAACTTATTATGATTCAAGGCGGCCCAGTCAAATCATTTGGGGCTCTGTCACTACACCCCGTCATGAAAGGTTATACCACGCAAATGTCAAGCAAGTGCACAACGAATGGTGAAATGAGAACGAAGGCTAGAACACTCTAAAATTAGTACAATTTATTTATTTATTTTATAAAATTCTCTAAAATGTGTCTAGACTTCTATGGTTATTATTATTATTTTTTTAAGCATTGTAGAACCTAATTTTACCATACTCCCAGCATTAAATTGTGGACACGTGGATAAATCATAGTCATTCGCTGTTAAGCCATGAACTATAAATAGCAATGAAATCCCATTTGTTCCTCAACAAGTAACTAAGCGTCCACACAGTTTTCTATCACATAAACTTTGTTTTGCTTACTCAACTTGCAAGCAAAATGAGCTACATTACAAGTTTTGAAACTCGCTTGAGTTTTAAATCCATAACTCCAAGTATTTACTTATAAATCCATAACATTAGAATCATTTTGATAAAGATGATCGCCTCTTGAAAAGGTTTATTACAAAATGTGGAGGGGGTAAACAAAGTTTGAGATGTATAATAAACAAAGTTTGAGATGTATAATTTTCTCTTTTCATACTAAAACTTCATCGGATCCTGATCTCCCAAATGTAATACCTCATACTATATTCGGCTAATTTTAATTCCAAAACACGAATTAAATACCTAACAACCAACATAATTATAAAACACCGTCATTTATAGTTTAAATAAATTGTAAAAAAAAATAAATAAAAGGACAATATTCTTATCAGAAAAAGGCAAAATAGAAAGTAGAAAAATACTATTTTATTGAATTTATTACCATACCCTTTTTACTTGTTAAGTATTACAAAATACTGTACTTAAATTAGAACTGTGAGAGTGTTCGGAAGCACAAAATCTGTACTGGACAAATGACACCTTGGTTGCATAAAAAACCATCAAAATTAACCTCAATACCCTAACACCAAAAAGAAATTAAGATGATTCACAGCTACACATGTTGAATCTTAATGATAGATAAACTTGTTTCATTTGCTCTCATTTGTTTCTGTGCTCTCTTTGGCTCCGTCGCAAATCCAGAACAAGAAAGTCAACAAAAAAAATACATACATAGAGACATAGAGGGAGAATCAAAAAGATAAACGTGGTTGAATTTCATGGTTTTTGAAGCTCGAATCTTAATCTCTTCCCTCCTCAACTCCTATCAAACAGGTTGGTGTACTAGTGCGAATGCGGTCCATCAAATTGATTTAACGGCTACTTATTCATGGATCTGGGCCCCTTGGCCCACTCAGAAACCCGATTCTTCATTATGTCTGGTTACAAGTTTATTTAAAAAAAAAAAAATTGCATCTGGTTACATGCTGTTTGTGTTTGGTCCATCAATAGAACAGATCACAGCATATATACTAGTCTCAAAGTTTATATATACCGCTCTTCTCTTCTTATTACTGTTATTACTTTTAATTTGAAATAAAATAATTTATCAATCCATAAAAATACACAATAAGCACTAGTATAAGTATACAAACACTAATATAAAGTGATAAACATTCTTATTCGGATGTATTTAGGTTGGTACAAAAAGGTGTATGCGAGTATATTTGAAAATATGTATACATATATATATGTATATTAGGTACTTATATATAGTATATACTAACCTCTAGATAGCAAATTGAAGTATGTATTGCTATTGCTACCAAAACTGGTGAACCAGACCATACCTTTAAACCTGCACTCTTGTAGCCCCCGAAAATACAATTAGACATGATCTAATTCATTATAGTTTCAGTAAAATTCTGCAGATCCAACAGATATAAACCAGGTAGTGTTAAAACTAGCATTTTAGGTTTCCCAACACTAATTGGATTTTCCTTGTAGTGGTAAAGAGATTGCTAACCTTGTTACCTAGAACAATGTGGACACAACAAAATTGCAGTTAAACTACAGGATAACTGCAAAGTTCAAGTCTACCAGGTGTTGAAATGGTAAAAACTTTGTACTATATTAATCAAATTCTCAAAATCTCATTCCAGCGGACAGACAAGAAAAGTATTTCCAAGCATATATTCTTTTACCTAGCCAAACACCATTTCCTTCAGAAAAAAAAAATGGATACCCCAAAAAAAACCCTTGTGAAATAAAGTTAAATTTACAGAAAGTGAAATGGATAATCATGTGCAAAGTTCAGATGGGAACTGAAAACTCATCAGATGTAGAGAACTCTACATTTGTAAGGCTGGTTTTCAATTCGAGGGACTGAAGTGCCCTCACAACTTCAGGCATTGATGGCCGTCTCTCTGGCATTACAGAAGTGCAACGGAGAGCAATTTCAAGAGTTGCCAACATCTCTTGTTGAGAAGAGTTCGATATCTTTGAATCAAGAACTTGCAATGCTCCATTCGATATGTTGATTTTCCTACGAACCCACTTCACGACATCAAGAGAATCCTCTGATTCCATTTGTTCAGCTTGCCGGCCTGTCACAAGCTCTAGTAAGACCACACCAAAGCTGTATGCATCCATTTGTTCAGTAGCTTTTTTACTGTATCCATATTCTGCAATCAAAACAACAATGCTAATAAGATATTTTGAGATGACATTGAATTCTACAGCATCAAGGTTGGAACTCATTGTTTATTGTGAAGATTCAATTAAAGTTTAGCGGTAGCCATCATAGCAAATTTCTACAGAAACTTCTTCTTCTCATCCCATTTTTTAAAAAGTTCTCGTTTTGTTGCTGACCAAGTATCAGTACCACCCAATTTAGGAGACTTTTAACAAGGATTATTCAAGAGTTCCTTTTTCCTTTTTTCGGTTTGGAAATGGCTGCTTGAGACCTTCAGTGAGAATACAAGTTAGTAGAACCATTTGAGTAGTTAAAGACCCAAATTTTAACTGCAATTCAGAACCAGTAGATAACAACCATAGCATCATAGCATGCTATGGACAATAAGGAGTCATTCTTACTCAACATTGCCTCCAAACACACCCTAGTAGTAGACCGATATCAACAATGTCAGTTTTAAGGAAACTTGTTTATCTGAACATTGAAATATCAGTTTGTGACATCAACTAGAGGAGATTTACTTAGCAAATATGCCTGCATAATTAAAAAGCCAAGAATAGCTATCAATTTTGGTTTTAAATATGACAAAAGATTACACACCTGGTGCCACGTAACAGGAAACTGCAGATTCTGATGCCAAGGATGACTGAAATGCAGTTTCTCCCACAATCCGATCAAAAGCAAAGTCCGTGAGTTTTGGTCCAAAATCGGCATCCAGAAGAATATTATTTGATTTCACGTTTCTGTGAATCATATGTGGAACATAATCCTTGTGAAGATATGCTAATCCTTGAGCAACTCCAATGGCAATCCTCAATCTAACACTCCAAGGCAACTTAAAATCTGGTCTGCAAATTAAATCTCCTAAGCTCCCCTTTGGTAGAAATTCGTATATCAGAAAGATTGAATCATCAGAATGGCAAAAGCCCAGAATTTTAGTGATGTTCTTGTGCCTTATCTTGGCCAGTGTCTTGATCTCAGCCTTCAAAGATTTCGAAGATTGGTTCCCAAAATTGGGCACCTTCTTCACAGCAACAAGTTCCCCACTCGGTAAGCTTACAATGTAAACTCTACCAAAAACTGATCCACCACTTCCTACAGCACTTTTCTCATCCATTGCCGTAATCAAATCATGTTCAGTGATTCTGAGAGGATAGAAGAAAACCGAATGCCAAATACCCATCTGGGATTTCAGCTTGGAAGAGCGACGCAGCACGTAAAAGCCAAAAGCAATAGTCAGAATTCCAACTGCTAAAGCTATAGAGATCAGGGCACAAGTCAATTTTGACAGACCGACCATTTTGTGCTGGGAATTGTCATCAGAACAAGAATTGGGCAATCCCGGGCCACACAAGCCTGGATTTCCTTGCAAAAATGAAGCCGGGAGGCCTGAGATGAGAGAGAATGGAACTCTGCCAGAAAGCTGGTTGAAGGATACATTAAAGAGAGCAAGCTTCAAGTCTTGAAGCTCGAGTGGGATTGAGCCAGTGAGGTTATTTTTGGACAGATCAAGATAAGTTAGAACAGGCAATTCAGCAAGTGAAACTGGGATTTCACCAGTAAAACTGTTATCCGCCAAAGACAATGAGACTAGTTTCTTGCATTTCTTCAGCTCTGGAATTCGACCAGAAAGCGAATTATGGGAGAGATTAACGATACTCATAATGGGCGAATCGCAGAAATTATGAGGAAGTTCGCCATAGAAACCATTGAGAGACGCAGAGAATCTATACAAACTCTTAACATTCCCAAAACCCAGAGGAATTTTACCAGTAAAGATATTGTTATCTATCTGGACTTGCTCCAAATGAGCAGCCATTGACATGGAATCAGGAATTTCTCCGGAAAATCTGTTGTTTTCGGCTCTGATGAGCTTGATTTTGGGTAATGACCATAACCCATTTGGGAAATCTCCTGAGAACACATTGTTCTGAACCTGAAACCTCTCAAGATTCAAGCATTGGTTGATAGATTTCTTGGGCACTGAACTGTTGAAGAAATTTGTATGGAGGCTGAGGCTTATAAGGCCTTTAGCATTACAAATACCATTTGGAAATGACCCCGAAAGCTTGTTCTGTGAAACATCAAAAGACACCAAATTTGTGAGGGACAGCCCAAGTGTCTGGGGCATCCAACCAGTTAGATTGTTTTGAGAAAGGTCTAAAGTGGCCAAACCAACCAAACCCACAAAAGTGTCAGGAATTGAACCATAAAAACCAGAGCTTTGTAACAAAAGCTGCTCAAGCTTATCAAGCTTACCAATATCACTTGGAATCTCACTCACCAGGAATGAATTTTGAGACAAATCAAGCACTAAAAGCTCAGTGAAGTTGCCAAAAATCAAAGGGACACTACCTGAAAGCAAGTTGCTTCCCAAGTTGAGAACTTGAAGGTTAATCAATGAGCCAATGCCTTCTGGGATCGTTCCTTCAACATGATTCCTGCTCAAATCAAGGACTCTCAATGACCGAAACTTGGAAATCTGATCTGGAATTGTGCCCCAAATGAGATTGTTACTGAGATTCAAAGTCTCCAGAGAACTACATTGTGAGAGATGGAGAGGAATGGGTTGGTTGAAGAGATTGTCAGCAAGGTTGAGATGGGTGAGGGTAGGAAGTTGACAAATGGAAGGTGAGATTTCACCAGAGAGGTTGAGGTTTTGAAGATTGAGAGAAGATACAGAGAGAGGAAGTGCAGTAGTGCAAGTGACTCCAGTCCAGTTACAGTGATGGGTGGATGTGGTGTTAGACCAGCTTGAGAGATAGTTCATAGGGTCTTCAATGGAGGCCTTGAAGGTGAGAAGGATGTCTGCTTCAGATGAAGCAGAGGTAAGAATGAAGAGAGAGAGGGTTAGAGAGAGAAGCAATGGATATGTCCTAGTTGTCGCCATTGGAGGACAAGACTCTGAGAGCTAGGTTGTGTTAGCAAGTAGTTTCAATCTTTTCTATATACTATTTCTGAAGGAAGGGAGAGCCACACTGTCACTTTAGAGAGTTTGACTTAAAAGACAATGGACGGCTAATTTTTGATGGGGTTGAAAAAAACACTGTGTCCTCAGAGTTATGTAAAAAATTGTGAAATTGCATAATTCTCTTACTCCCAAAATACTTGTTTATATTTTTAATTTGGAATGTCTTAAAAATTACGTCCAATTCAAAATTTAAATGTACTATTTTTTATAACGTTTTCAAATTATCTTTTTAAATAAATAAGTTCACTAATTACGAAATATTATTTTGTCTTTTAATAAGAGAATATTTGAAACTTTATTTTTATTAATATAATAAAAAATTATTAAAATTTCACTACCGTAAAAAGTTAAATTCTCCATACAAAACATGTATTTTGGAACAGAGGGAGTACTGTTTTGAGTAATTCCCAACACAAAAAAAAATTTATTAATTTTTTAAAAATTATACAGTACAATTTGTTTTTCTTTTAAATAATTGAAGGTCATTTGTCATCAAGAGATGTCTAAGACTAATTGCTAAAAAATAAAAATAAAAAAATGTGATGTCAATACACAGAGAGAATCCTAAGAAACAGTGAAGCATGGGGATATGAGGAATTGACCTTCCACCAACCAAAATAGAGACACCTTATTCAAAGGGTAACAGGCTACAGTATAATATGACATGCATAGATCTGTATATATCTAAGCCACCCCACTTTTTTTTGAACCAAATAGTAGCAGTGACTAGTGACCATCGAACTCTGTTTTTCTTTTTTTAATCCTGAGAATAATTTTCAAGTTAGGAGTGAGAGCGACCACTAAACGTGATATCCCCATCATATCATGTGTGGAGGGAGAGAGATATGTATGAACACCTTGTCTAAAAAAGAAAAAACTGCGAGCAAAAATAATAATAAAATATATATATTAAAACATTAATTTGTAGAGTGGTAAACATTTATACAAATTGCAACCGATCGTGACACTAAAAATAAAGGGGAAAAAAAACATATAGCAAATGATTGAATTCATTTAAGGGAAGGAGAGTTGACAGAGTGAGAGAGAGCACCCCGTGACTGGTATAGAGAGTGATGACAAGAGAAGAGACTGAGAAGTCAAGAGAGAGAACAAGAGTCTCCTTGGCACGTGCCAACGTGGGGAACAGTTTTCAACAAGGCTGTAGTCTGTACCACTGTGAAGCCTCCAATAGATGCTGCTGTCCTCCTATACTGTATTTTTTCATATACAGATGCTCTGCAAATTTGACCCACACAGTGTTGAGAAACTCACTGTGCGGTCACTTTCTTATGTACAATTTACTTAAATTACGGCTATTCCCTATCTTTATCTCTCCTAAATTCCGAAAGACATACCCACTTTTTGCGCTGCACGTTAATTTACTACTGCCCCATCGGTCTTATGGGGCCCTCTCTGGACTAGTGAATCAGACGGTGGAGAATGATGCAGCTGATTTGATTGGCCATTGTATAAATTATAGTTGGGAATACCTCTCACACGCACCAACCCTAAATACGTGCAGGGTTAAATTAAGTAACATGCATAGAGGTGCTAAGATTCGAGTAGCCCAACACTTCTGCAATGTTTGGTTGGATGAAAGGATTGAGGGGAGTGATAGAATAAATATTTTCATGTTTGATTAGAGGAAAGGGAAGAGAGGGAGGAAATAAGGGGGAATGAAGCATCCCTTCTTTCTTTATGATTTTCTATCCGCCCACTTTGGGGGGAAGAGAGGAGAAAAAGAAGGTATAACTACTTATAAATTTATAATTTATAATTTTAACCTTTTCAAAAAAAATTAAAATAAATATCTACCTTCTATAAATTTATGTAAAATGGTGTATTGGTAAAAATAATATAAGAACCAACCTTTCCTTTTTTCTTTTTTCGAACCAAACAAAAAAAAAAGAATCATTCTATTCATCATTTTTACTATCCATTCCATTCAACCAAAAATAAAATGAAAAAGACACCCTCCCTTTCTTAGAAATATCTCATCCATTTCGCCCCTTATCTCTTCCATCTGTTTTTTCATTCCTCTAACTAAACAAAGCATTAGAGCTCGCCATGACTGTCAACTACGCCACATATTATTAGTACACATTGTTACAGTTAAAATTGAGATAGTTGGGAATGCATTGATGATATTTGACTAACAAATTGTAGTTGAAACGATATAGGATTCACTTTTTGGATGAACAATCGAAATCTTGTGTTAGAAGCCTAAAAATTTATTTTTGTGGCCGGCAGATGGTACAATCATATTTTGTGTTACCATTTTAACGAATCACGGGATTTGTTTAATGATGAATAATGATGATGATGATAGAGTATTACCATATTTTCTTATAGTAAGTTTTTGTAAAGGCGCCTCTCAACCGCCCTCTCCTCATCATTTCATCCTGACAATGACTAGCATTCTTTATTTTATGAATAATTTTAAAAGTGACACATGTTACAATAATAAAGTTTTTTATCTTGTACTGCCGGATGTATGTGTGTGTATATAAAATAAAGTTACTCGTGTCCAATCGATCTTACCACAACATTATACACTATACATGTAACTCAGAAAATTAAAGATCCCGGATCCCCATTGGACTGCTGTATACAATATGTGTTGTAGAGTTTTTTAACTTAATTAATTTTATTTATTTTAATCAAATTTAATGTGTTAAACAATTACTGTACTAAAAAGTAAAATAAATATGTTTTTTTACATAATTAATGCATTGATAAATTACACCACCACCTCAGTAGCACAGGATATGAGCACAAAATTTGAATCCCCAAGCGCATATATATATATATATATATATAGAAATTTCACAAATGGGACTATGGGAATCCGACCTCATTCACAAGCCAATGGGATGATGCCGGGGACAGCATATTCGTACTGAGCAAAGTCTAAAAGGGTAAAAGTGGAGGGGTGAATATGTCAAGCAGCAGCCACACCAGTTGACTATTTTTACGAAATTTTGACTTTTACTGTGAAAAGAAAAAAGTTATCAGCCTTCTGCAAGAAAATCTAAAGAAAATTTGCCTGTCACATCAGCTTAAAAAGCATTTAGTCGACGACGAGTTTCATTTTGATTTGTTTTTTTACCATGATCCAAGTGAAATGAATGAGAATTTTTTTTTTGGTAAATACTCCGGCCAATGAATGAGATTCATTGGTGTCATGTTTGCTGTAAATTTTTAATTTGGTTGAATTTTGGTGAAATCTAATGGGACAGAAAGTTCAATACTTATTATGAGTACGAGGGGTGACAACGGGTCGGAACTGAGATGGGTGATCGATTTGGTTAAATTCTATTTCACTTTATTAAAAAATTTGTCCTACAAATTTTGTTCTTATTTCGAGACAAATTTGTAATTAGTATATTATTCTCACATCTATTTTGGTAGATAAAGTATCGATTTTGTATAGCATACTGCATTTAATTGCGGAGCAAGAATAGGATGGGTTATGCCTCTTTTTTAATATAGGAAAAAAAAAATAGCACAATATGTTCAAATTGGGCTTATAAATAAGTACACAGCTTTAAAATTATTAAATAGTGAATATTAATGTATTAATGGACACTTCCAGTAAAATAATAAATGTATATTTTATATATGTATAAAATTTAAAAGTACATATATTTAGTTCATCACTAAATCTGTTCCCGTCCCAAACTCATTTCAGATTTTCAATTATTTTATCATACTGGCCCCAAATTCATTTAGGAACTACCAAATTTGCTTCATTAGGAGAAGGACGTGACGAAAAATCGCCTCACATTCCAAAATACTAAGCAACCAAAATTTGATCCAACACATTTTGTTCTGAGTAAAATAGTTTTGGACTCAAACAAGATTCATTTTAAAGGCTATTATGTTTCATCTAATACTTGGGTACTGTCTTTTGCACTTTCTATGATATTAATGAGACTTTTATGTTCACTAATTAAATTTACTTTTTGTGTTAAGAGTTAAACCACACTCAATAATTCTCAATAACTTACAAGATTTAATTAAACTAGTACCACATATATGTCCCAAGCATTTTGCAACTAAGATGATGGAAGTTTTTCCTTTCCGACGCATGAAGCCAAACATGTTAGGCAGGCATGCACGAGTCCAAAGACAATGAACCTCTTTCATCACCTAGTTGATTAACCATGTTATCACATTATTGCCCTTAAAAATGGTCAATGTTGTCATCATCATCAGGAAATTTCAAGCAGGTTGAGACACTACAAAATCCAAATTACCCACCATCATACCTTAATATAAACTCGATGCTGAGTAATCAATCAAGGAAAAAATTAATTAAAAAAACAAAGCAAACAAGTAAATTATTTGCAATTTTGTATAATAAACTTGTTTAGAAGGTCGTTAGTCAGTCAATCATGTTCACAACTAATATCACCTTCCTAAATAACCAAGTTGTGTATGTTGGAAAAATATATATGAAAATGAAAAATATGAGAATATTATTATAATAAAGTTAAATTAGGCGTGGTGGTGACACAAAACTAAGAATGTCAATCAATCGATTATTGTGGTCAACCCTTGAAAGGGTCTTTAACTTTTGTAAGCTAATGACTATTTTAATTAGTAAGATATACAATAAGTGATTGTGTTTTAAAAGGGATAAAAACGTTTCTTGAAGCATTTCATATTGTTTCTTTCAAAAGCTTGTTTGTATACACACGTATTCTCATAGTCTAACATTTTAATATTAAAGCATCTACGTGTATATATATTATAATATGTCTGTGTGCCACAGTGGAGAGAGACATTTCGTTTTGTTTCTTGCAAAAAGTTGTTCACATATAGTGTGATATTGCTTAAAGCCATTATACAGTGTGTTTGTGTGTGTGTGTGGAGTGAGAGAGAGAGAGAGAGGGTCATGACTCATGGGTGTTTGTGATATTTGTGTGTAATATTCCCTAGATAAGAAAGTCCCCAAGTCCCAACAAATGCATTGCAAGTATGCCCTTTTGTCTTTGTTGC